CTCTCCATATTTCTTTCCTCCTCCCTGTTTAATTTTCTCCATTCTTACTCTACCTTGTTCAAATGTTCAGGTAAACAGCACCCAGACATGAATGGACATGTGTGTCAAGTTTTAAGATTTTAGCAATGCTGTCAGTGGACTTGGTTACCTTGGCTGTGGAAGCAGTTGTGGGGTTTGCAGAAACCTGATTTCATAGTTGAGCTCAATTTCATGAACCAGGTCCTTAACTGTGTATGTTTTAACCGAAGCGCTATGAGATGACTTGTTGTTGTAAATATGCGCTATACAAATAAAATTGAACTGAACCTGCAATGGTCTGTTTGCCCTGCTGTGGGCTTTTCGGCTGCAACTTAGCCAAACTGATCAGGACAAATAAGTGAAGATATGAATGGAAGTGATGAACGAGTGGTTGTTTCCAAACTTCACCTGCGTTTTTTCCACTTGAGCTGAACGAAGACTCTATCAGTGTTGTGCCAATTTTTTTGTGTCATTTGTACAACACAGGCACGCTCAATTTGTATAGATAGTACATGTTTAGAAATGGACTGAATAACCTCCTGGAAAATCCTATGGATGACTTAAAATCAAAATGTCAAAATATATTTCAAAGGTCACATTGCTGGTTTGGTAATAGCTTGTTTTTTAAGTTCTGACTTGCAAAAAGAATATAGGTTCACTGTCTGACAGTCACAATGACTTTCAAAAAAGATCCATATAATAAGCCAATAGGTTGTTCTTATTACTAATATATTATTGGTGTAGTGGACGAGAACGTTGCTTATAGTAAAATGATTCACAATAGTCTTGGCCTGTTGATCACAGCCTGCTATCCATGTTTCCATTTTTGAACGAGTCACAAAGTCCACATTAAGAGGTTGGTGGTGGCATCAGGCAGACGCAGGACTTTAAATCAGTAGACTGGGTTTGTGTCCATTGTTTCTACACCTAAAGCTGAGGTAGGCGGTATTTTTTATTTTTTTGTTTTTTTGGCATCATTGTGCTAAAAAGTCCTGTAATAACCTTTAAACATAATGTAATTATAGTGATCTGAGAAAAATATATACTTCTGCACTTCCTCTTGCCTCTGTTTTCTGGCTTTGGAAAATATAGCCTGTGACGTAAGAGTTTAACCAATCACAGGTCTTATAAGCCACAGAGAGTGAAATCACAAAAAGAGCAACACAGTAAGCAAGTGAGTGTTGGATGTACTCGTCCTTCGGTGGGTCAGGTGGAGAGCTTTGACTTGGGAAAGTGGGATTTGAATCTTGTGTAGAGTTACAGATATTTTTCCTTTTTCAAGATCTCTACATACCCCAGCTTTAAGCTACACATTCACTTGCGATTTGGTTAGGGTTAGAAAAATAGCATGGTTTGAGTTAAAATACACTCTTTTACAACATATTTAAAGCTTCTGATCAATTTACTGGGTTACCAGGGTGACATCTCCTGCCCCATATAATATGATTGCTTGGTTGAAAAGGGACAACAGTAGGAAAACAATGCAATAAATGGCAAAGATATGCTTAATAACAAGGTATTTGTGCTATGTTACAAACAAACATAACTAGAACTAAATAGTTTTGCCTAAAAATGTAGTTGAGAATGGAGTTTAATTGTGCAGAAAGAGAGTCTTTTGCAGACTGGGCTCCTTCTTATTTTCTTAAATCCTTTCCCAGTGGCTTCAGCTGTCCTTACTCCATCGTGGATTTCATATTGTGTTAGTCTGACTAAGCATAACTCAAAAAAAAACTTACACAAAAATATCCTGAATTGCAAATTAGCTACATGTAATCTTGTAAATGTAAATTTGAAAGTATGTTGATGCAGACCTGTAGTTATCCTGAGCAGCAAAAAGCAAAGATGGCCCACTGCTAGTTCAGAGTGGTCACACAAAAGAGCTCTGGATGAGAAATTCCCAGGAATTTAAACTCTACGGCGGTAAAGCAAAGTGCAGAAAGGCAGAACAGTTTTCAGTTCTCTGAAGTGTAAAGTCCTGGAAATTACACTGTTGTGAAAACTGACTCCAGGGCCACTACAGAAACTATGTTACCACTCACACAATTGAACATTTAAGCACAAATGCTCTTCACTACTAAAGCCAAGTGGTTCCATGTGTTCAGCTGTTTGGGATTAGGCTATCTGTTCCTGCTGTTCTCCTCCTTACACGTTTTAAGTGCAGTGAAGCTGCTCAGATCTGATGCTGTCATCCTGAATCTTGTCACATGTGCTCACAATCACAATTCTGAGAATTATTTTATGTTTTCTGTATGTTTAATGCCCCTGCTTATGACTTCCAACACGTTAACACCATATGTTATAGCAGTAGTTTAATTTTAATCACAGTTTTTCAATTTTCTCTGTAATCTGAATGTAGCTTTATTATTTCAGCCTGCATGGAAGGAGCTTCAAATGGTTTTGAATGTGTAATTGTTTTCTATGCATAGAAATCCCACAGTCTCACATAATCCTCCTGTAACAGCAAACCTTTTTTTTTCATATTAAATGCAGTAAGTTCATCATGTGCTTCAAAGAGGACACTAAAAGGACATTTCTAACCAACAACTTGTCATGGACACTGATTTTTAGCTGATTAGGAAGATGCAGTGTCTGAACGGAATAGCTGCAGTGATCTAATAATTAAGTCTCTAGTAAATGACCAGTCATTTTTCAAACTGTGAACCTAAAGCCTGAGTGTTGCTGATGAGAGCAACCTTTTAGGAAGTGATGCTTACAGGAGGAAGCAGTGGTGGAGCTGTTCAGACCTCCTCCATGTGCTGTGAGCTCTCATGCTGGAATGCTCATCATTATCAGGAGATTTTAATAAAAAAAACACTTTCAGACTCAAAACCAACAAACAAAACAGCTTTACAGCAAAATTCTAGATATTTCTGCTCTGTGAAGCTTTTCGTGTGTGTAGTCTTTCCTCGTGTGTCTCATGTTTTTAGCCAAATAAAATCATCTGATAAGTCAATTCAGCATCGTTGTCGTTTATTTACCGTCACACCATTAAGATATAAATTATTTACATGTTGTATATAAAAGAGAATTTCAGCTGAGAGGGAAGAAACAACTAATATTTATCTTAAAAATCCTGATTTAAAAGACGAAGAAAAAAAAAATCCCATAAGCGGCATTAAAAAAAACCCACAACTGCTCTTTCTTTATAACACTGTAAATATTTTCAGCTTGTATTTACAGAACTTTAAGGCAGAAGCTTGTCCAGGTTTGTGACTGAATGCAAGAAAAAAACGGACTGAGAACGGATAACATAAATTTAAATAATAATAATATTAATAATGATAGTAACATTCACAGCATCGTAAGACCCCGATTTGGTTTGGATCAGCAGACCCGCAGAGATGTTGCATTCAAACAGAAAAAAAGTTATTGCAGGAAAAATAAGTTATGTAAACACTCCAGAGCCCCATTTCCACATGGCTATAGATGTTGGTTGTATCATAAATAACAATATAACGGTCTTTGTTAACAACAAATAAAACTATTTCCTTGAACATTCGTGGATGTAGCCTGTAGGTCCAGGATTTGGCCGAAGGGTGCCAAGTCGGCACATGGTTGGGGTTGAATTTAAAAAAAAAAAGATATAGCTATTGACAAATGTAAATGTACTGGAAATTTGAATAGAAAGTTTGATAGAAAATAAAAAAACAAAAACGCATTTTTGATTTTGTTAAATCTGAAAACGTGTTCTAATCCAAAGCAGTCGTGTGCCAAATCTTTTATATGAATTTTGTCATCAAACACTGTTCACCAGACAGCTTCTATAAAGTAGACCTTTAATTCCAAATGTAAAAGGTGTCGATACATTCCCACATCGCGGGGCGCACCGGGCCGCCAGCGGAGGCCTGGCCTGCTGCCAGCAGAGCCGCAGGTAAACATTCACCGCAGCGCGCCGTCACAACACAGTCGGAACCAAGAAAACAGCAGAAAACAGCCAAGAAAGTCAGAAACACATAAAACACAAAGTTAAGGCTATTTTCTTAATTCACAGTTCCCAGAATGCAGCAGAAAAAAATCTTTGGATTGAGCATATAGGCCTGGTGAGCAGACTGGCGGTGACACAGAGCTGCAGGACGGAGCGCCTCCTCACACCTCAACACTGCGCTCCTCACTTTTCCCGCCTCCAACAACCATCAGAGTTCTTTTTACGCAAGGGGGCCACTCAAAGTTCTGTTCTGTCCACTGGCAGTACTTTTCCTAGACCGTGGAGCTCACTGTCTGAACTGATCTGGACAAACATCTCTGTGCAGTTGGTTCTTTAGAGTCACCAGTCCTGCATTCTGGATTCAGGAAAATGTAAAAAAAAAATAAAAATAAAAAATCAGTGTGGAAGCTGGCTAACATATACTACGTTTCTCACCATGTTTATTCAAGATAGGGTATTTGGTATAAAAAATTCTCAACATTCATTTCAGCTCACTTAGCCTCATGTTTAACCTACATTTTGCATTTTTTTTCCAAAAAAAAAATATAATTATCTCTTAATTCTGTCAAAACGCATTTTATTTTACACATATATGTATCTCAAAAATAACTGTTTTGCCCTGTCTGCAGAAATTGTAAACAAAAAATAGCAATAGGCTAAATGTCTATTTTGTACCTGACAAACACCCTGTCAACGCTGATGGAGCCTCAAGTTGTCTGATAGTATCACTGAATGGTCACAAGCAGGAGTCTGTCTGAACTGGACCTGTGAATTCACAGAGGTTGCGGTTTGAAGGGGGAACAAGGCCTTGGGAAATTTCCGACTTGTGGCTGTGACATGAACGCAGCACGTTTTCGGAGTTTGGACCGGACACCGTCAGACCTGCAGCCCTGTGGACACGTCGCAGCCTGCGCTCTCACACACCTCACACACACACAGAAGACCAACACAATGCACATCATCGTCTCTGGTTGAGTTTTTTAAATAGCCTATGAATGCTGGTACTCGAGTGATTTTATTGCATGGTTCAGAAGCCCTCCCCTCCCCTTGGTCTCCGCTAGTCGCTGTCCGACTTCCCGTCCTTCGCCGTGGAGTGGTTGTACAGTCCCTGCGCCATCAGATGCAGCGCCAGAGAGTTTTTATTCCCGGTGGCTTTCTTGATTTTGGCCCGTTTGTTCTGAAACCAGATTTTGATTTGAGACTCGTTGAGGCCAAGTTCCCGGGCCAGGCTCTGCCTCCGCTGCTCAGTCAGGTACCGGTTGTTCTGGAACTCAGTTTTTAACCGGTGGAGCTGCTCCGCGGTGAAGGCTGTCCGGGGCCGCTTGTCCTCTTTAGTCGGGATCGGCGCTTTCTTTGGTTTGCGGGATCTGGGCCCTTGGGTGGGTGTTGGAGGGGGGAGACAAAATGAAAAATGACAGCCAGTGGTTAAGGACAGTCCTTCTGAGCTTTCTCACAGTTTCACGGGTGGACAGCAATAATGAACCCGGCTAATAAAAATGGGCCTGTTGGTCAACAGAAGGAGCCTATTGCTTCAGTTTCCATGCGCCAGGTTGTCAAGATCACATTTAGCTTCCTGTTAGGGGATTCAGGTAAGTCTGATTAGGTCCTAATGTTTTGTTTTGTTTTTTTCAATATGTGACCTGAACCAGGCAAACCCAGAACCACGGTCACAAATGAGTATCAAAGAATATTGCAGAATAACATCGCTGTGTAAAGGTATAGGTCCACATAACACACACACACACACACACACATATATATATATATATATGTGTGTGTGTGTGTGTGTGTGTGTGTGTGTGTGTGTGTGTGTAGATAGATAGACACATAGCTAGATATGAATGAATGGATGGTTATTTAATTGTACAATTTAACATTTTAACCCAACTCTCTAATTTATCATTCTAGTATAAATCTAGTAAAGGAAAAAACGGAAGATTAAGATCATAAAGTTTCTAAACGTGGCTTTCTCCTCTCACTGTCATTATTCTACATTCAAATCATCACCACTGCTCACATGCTGACATGTTCACATGGCTGCTTATTGACCATTTACTGTATGTGATGGATGTGCTTGGCCCTGTAAGCACCTGTTTGGCTTTAATACTTGAAAGAGGAGGTTTCAGGACAGACAGGAACTATTCCCAGACACACTTCCAGGACAGAACTTTTAACCCAGCCCTAACTGGAGCTAATTGGAAGAGATTCTATATGAGCCCGTCCGGCTGCATGGTGTCTGCAGCAGACTTCATTGAGGAGGAGGAGGAGGAGGAGGAGGGCGCAGATGGGGGTGGGGTTAGGATATGATGGAGGATGGGAACTTAGGCGCCTCTTTCCCTCCCTGTTACCATAGGAACTCCATTTTTAAAAAGTTGTTTCCTAAAAAGAGTAGCAACCGCTTTTGTTTGTGACGACGTTTCTGTCCGGATGAAATTAAATCCAGAATAATGAGAAAGGATGAAAACAATCTATCTGAAAACGTGCAGCTGAAGGAAAAGAAACACAGCAGACAAATCAATGATTGTAGTAGAAGCCCACTAACAGGGCTGGCGTGACAACACTGCGCAAAACACACCACAAAGCTTATCTTTCAATGGATTATTTAGCAATTTTAAAGTTATTTTGTGTTTATTAGGTCTGATACGGGAGGCTGCAGGCCCCATGACCTCTCTGAAGGCCCTTTGTGGTCATTTCCATAAGCTCGGGCCTCGATGGAAACTTTTTTTGTGTTTCCATACGACAATAAAAAACAACATTTCTGCCTGTCCTTTTTGCTTCGTTTGGAGCTCTTCCAAACGCCCCTTCGATAGATCGTAATATTTTTCTCCCTATTCTGGGCTGTTGGTGAGATTTAGCGTTTTTACCAGCTCAATATGTCTCTAAATCATGACAAAGAAGAAGTCCAAGTGCACCATGTGTTGACTTAGAAAACAACCTCAGCCTGCAGCAAACCTTTAACTTTAGCTTCCAGATAAAATAACCATATTTAATGTAATGCTGAGAGTGAACAGAGCAGGTCAAAGCAGAGCGCTGCGGCAGCACATTAAAGGCGTTTTGGTTTGTGTGGATAGAAAAATGCTTTAAACGCAGTTTTCTCACCGCCGGTAGTTTGGTCATCTTAGTAAAAAATAGTCATTAAAAATTATTTTATCGGCGGATGAAAAGGCGTTGAAACTGTGTTGTTCAGCAATTCACATTGAATTTATCTTTTTTTGGGCCTTCACTTTTTACACCCCCCCACCCCATTGTCAAAAAAATATGCTAATCGAATATCAACAAAGAAGACGGGGAACAATAGCGTTAAACTTAATTTTACTTCACTTCTATACATTTCCAACTTTACTTTTGACTCCTATTTAATTTCAACTTTAAGTTTATAACACTTGGACTTTTTGGTTATTTTAAAGCTAAAACTCACATCGAATTCCTTTAGAAAAAAACACCCGAATTACTTTCTAATCAGCGTTTAAAGCAGATAGTTTAATGTAAAATAGGCTACGTGTTTTGAAAGTTTGTTTTGTTTTGTTTTTATTATTTAAAGTACCTTGTGAAATAAGCTAATGGGGATAATATTAGTTATGATAATGCAATAATAGGTTTGTCAATTATTACAAGTGATGTGTCTATTAAACTGCATTGGGCTGGCACAGCTCACAAAATATACCATTTGTCTTTAACGACTATTCATTTACATGTGTCTAAAACTAGAAAATAATGCAATGGGAGCATTTTTCCTCTGAAAGAAAAACTGGCTGATTTTCTACATTTCAGACTTTTTAACTGATACAGAAATCGGAACTGGAATGCTGCCTATTTTTCCTTTCAGTCTGCTAAAAGTGACCGAGGAATGTGTTTCACCAACCTGATGACGGGCGGTCTGAGTAGCGGGTACAATAAACCCAGGCTGGCCACAGCATCGGCTTGGCTGCCGGGGCCGTGCTGGCCTGAGGGCTGCGGCAGCGGTCCTCGTCGTCCCCACGGTCCTTCACTGCCACATCACCGGCTATCAGGTCAGGCCTCCCGGCCTCAGAGTCCAGATGCTGGTCGTCGGACGCTTCCGAGTCCTCATTCTCTCCTCCTGCTCCACCCAGCTGAGGGCTGCCAGTTTTGGAAGCCTTTCTCCCTGTCAGCTCCTCTCTTCGTATGATCACTCCCAGACCGTCTCCCTCCCGAACCAAAGTCCTTCCATCCTTCCTCTTTCGGCCGAAGTCTGGTCTCAAAATGTTGTCGATGTAGAAGTTGGTGATCCTGTGGGACTGCTGGTTGCCAGGTGGCTGGAGGAGAGGCACGATGGCCGGGTTGGACTCCTCTCCCGAGTCCCCTGGACGCTCTGCGTCTCGGCGAGCATTTTCTTCCATAATGATGAAGCCTGATCACTCTCAGCACCTGCGTCCTTCTGCAAAGTAGTAATTCCAATTTCCTGATGCGTCCGTTTCACTTTCCTATGAAATAATTGCTTTATGTGTGACTCTAACAAACAAAAACAGTGATGAGAACAACGAACTCCGTTTTGGCAGAGTAGTTTATAGCTATTGTTTTGCTGTGAAAACGCGCCTCTGCTGATATTGACAAAGAAGAATCATGCTTCAGTTTCTGGTAGGAGCCTCCTCCTCATGACTGGACTTGATCCGCGATTTTTATTATTATTACTATTTCAAACTAGCAAAACGAGTTCTCTTTTTTTTTTTCTTTTTTTGTATTTAATTTTTCCGGGTCCCTGCACACAATTATTGACGCTTCCAACAGCACTAAAGTGCCCTAATAACGACGCCGCTCAAATACTTTCAGCTCAGATTTTTGGTTCTCTTTTCTGATTGGCTGACGGACGCTGTGATGACGTTGCACCACGGGGCTCTCAGACACGTGCCTCGGACCAATAGAGGTGCAGAGTTGATGTCATGTGAGTTTTCCGGAATTCCCTGGAGGAGCAGGTTAATCCAATCCACTCAGTTAACTCACGATGCGTTCAGGGTATAGCGGACATTTCTCATGACTTCAACTTTCAAAGGCGCGGGTTGACGTTTGAAAAGGCGATTACTGGAAAGTAATGTCCAGGCCAGCTGTTAGGTAACAAACAGTGAGGAGAGCCTTGCTCACTTCCAGTCATCACATGAACTATAGGTTGCTATGAGACAACAATGTCACAGTGCCCCACATACGATGTGTTGATGGTGAGTCAGTGTTTGTGTGAGCTGGAAAATGATTGGCACTGACAGCCAGTGTCTGCAGAGAAAAAGAAAACACATCTGAGCTGCTTTAGATGGAGTGGGACGCTCTGATAAGATGTTGCAACTGGTCTGCAGCTACAGTTTGAAATTTAATGCCTTAAAGCAGGGGTGTCGAACTCCGGTCCTGCATGTTTTAGATGTTTCCCTCTTCCAACACACCTGATTCAAATGATCAGCTCATCATCAAGCTCTGCAGAAGCCTGATAGATCCTGATCATTTGAATCAGGTGTGTTGGAAGAAGGAAACATCTAAAACATGCAGGACTGTGGCCCTCGAGGACCAGAGTTTGACACCCCTGCCTTAAAGCATACAGTCTAAAAAATAATGCTTGAACACAACAAAACAACTTTAATGCTTTCATGAACCTTTTTAAGTTATGGCAACTTCCAATGAAATTAGGTCTAACTAACTAGGGAGGATTAGCCTTTCCTCAAAGGTATTTTTAAAATTATTACTATATATACACCTCACTATAGTCACGGGGGGCTGGAGTCTATCCCAGCTGACTCAGGGTGAAGGCAGGGGACACCCTGGACAGGTCACCAGTCTATCACAGGGCTACACTTAGAGACAAACAACCAAGCACACTCGCATTCACACCTACGGACAATTTAGAATCACCAATTAACCTCAACATGTTTGGGAAACCGGAGAACCCAGAGAGAACTCACGCTGCACGGGGAGAACATGCAAACTCTATGAAAGATCCTCATCGGGATGCAAACCGGGGATCTTCTCGCTGCGAGGTGACGGTGCTAACCACTGATCCACCTTGCAGCCAAGCAGGGACTTGAAGCCCTAAAATCAAGGAAAAATTAAGGTATCAAGCTGCTTTCATTGAGGTACATTAACTTAAACTCGCTTTAAATCAGCTAACACAAAAGTTTGAGTTTAAATTACACACAACATTAAGTGGATGCAATTAATGCAAAGAAATGCAACTGCCAACATCATTATGTCAACCCAGCTTATCAAAATATGAATATTAAGTTTGCAACTTAAAAGGTTTATATAAATAAGTGAATTTTACACACACACACACACACACACACACACACACACACACACACACACACACACACATTTATATATAACCTGCATTCTCTCTCAGCCTCCACAGTGAGACTAAACTCTTGATACTATTACATTTTAATGTTTAAAAAAGGTTAATAGCCGGTGTAAAAAACAAAACAGAGCCCCTACAAGCAGACTGTTAGTTCTATCTGAGCTTTTTCTCCATAGTTTTGCATGTGCAGTCATGAGCACACTGTAGGTAACAGGCTGAGAGCATCATTTGTAGCTCAGATCATCATGTGTTGTGTCAGAGAGGGGCTGTGGTGATTTTCTCTTTAATATCATTCACACATGCTTCAGTGTCAATCCTCTGACGTGTCTGATAGAATCTTTCGAGCTCATAAGGACCACTCTGGGCTTTTTAATTCAATTGCTTCAAATACACAAATTCTTTGAAATAAACACTGAAACATAAACTATATCAGACAACATTTGAACCTTGGTAAGTGTATGGAATGCATAAATTAAGACAAATCATGTTAATGCTGTAATATCTGGAAAAAAAATACTACCAGAGGACTGGTTGTTTTCCCTGAGCTGCTACATCACTCTGAGCAACATCTCTAATATTGTCTCCATATCCTTTTGATGACGCTTTCCCTGAAGATGGGAGGCAGGCTTTGTGCGACTCTGGAAGCTGCTGTCTCCGACATTGTGTTGGTGCCCAGATGTGAGATGAGACAAAGCAGAGGTCAGCTGGGAGCATCAGCTTCTGTCTGTTCTATTCCTTCATAAAGATAAAGGCAAATTACAGACCAGAGCCCTCTGGATCATAAGACACTGAACACTCAGAGAGTCTTCTTCCTCCATGGTATCTGTTTTAAGGGCCCATTGTGAATAATACAAACATTTGTCAGTCAACGTCCAGCTGCTTCTTCACACAATGTGATTTAATAAAGAATTGCTGCCAAGTGATTTTTGCTATTTGGACTTGAGTGTGACAGTGTGTTCTATACTGTAAATCACTGGAAGTTTGTTTGAATATGTGAGTTAACTAAACCGAGGTTGAATCATTTATTTTATTAGCATCTTAGTGACGTATTGAAATGTAAAGCTTGCTAAACTAACTGAACCAAGTTATTCAAACTAAGATTTTGAACTGATTGGCTCCAGTCTTTCAGTCAGTCCTGCTTTTCTTTCATATGTCTCAATGTAAGGAGTCACTTCTTATTCTGACATGAAGTGCTGTTAGCTGTAAATATTTAAACCATTTCACACGTCAGGCAACATGTGAGGCTGAGTCCAGCTGAGTTTAATAGTAACACTCCTCATTATTTACAGCGTTTTTACTACTATTTAAAGAAACAACCAGGATTTAATACATTTTAAATGCCACACAAGTATTTGGTCGTGGCTGGGTGCTCTGAGCTACAAAGGAAGAGTATCAGGGCAGTTTTAACTCTCAGCAATGCATGATGGGAAAGGCATTCTAGTTCTGATTCTTTAAAAACTCGATTCAATTTGTCAATTAATGGATTGATTAAAATCTCAAGTTAGACATCTTCTGTTTATAGGTTGTAAAATGATCTGAAAATCTAAAAAAAATATTTAAAAAAGAAGATATTTTTGGTTGAATTTACTTGGAATTCACAGAACTTCTATATTACATTAACAAGAAAAGATGAGTTGATTTCCAATAAATCCAGATGAATGTTTGACAGTGTAGCCTGTTTTGATTTTTGATAGTACTTATTGTTTACCTTACATTACAAATGTGTCTTTAAAGCGACACTTCAACACGTGGATTTTCAGTGCAGTGAAAAGCTGACTTAGCAGTTTGGTGTCACACTGAAGTGAAACCTCTTGATGGGTGGCCTGCATGGGGCCCGGCAGTAAATTAATTTGCTGCCATGGTATTGGCCTTTTCTTATTTGCAAGTTGCATTTCTGAGACTGTTTCAGTTCAATAACACGCCAGCGCCAAGCGAACCCTGTGCGGACCCGCACGGAGCCGCAGTGCGCTCCACGTCGCTCCAAACGGCGCGCACTGAGTCCAGGTCGGGCCCACTGGAGCTGAAAAAATCTGCTTTAGATTCTCGGTTACCGGCCAGAATAAACGCACGCAGTCAAGCTGCAGCCCAGTAGGCAGTGGACATGCAGGAAAAATGAGAGCTGCTACAGCGGGACAGACCACATGTCCTGATGTGTGTTACAGCGTTGGGCAGCCGGTTTGCGTTACTGCTTGTGGCCAAAGATATTGATTTGGTGTTGCAGGTACCTAAACGCAACTCAGATCAACTGAGTGACAGACGACTGGCTGAGCAGGAGTCAGTTTAGCTGCTGACCGCCCTCAACAAACACAGGACGAGGACTGTAGGATTTGTATTCATTCTAGTTATGCGGAGATATAAAAAGACACACGATTCATTTAATGCATGAAAATGAAATTTCGTATTTTTAAAGGAGAAGCATTTGACTGGAAAGGAACTTTAACTCAGACTCTAAAGACAATTTGGTTTCTTTTTCACCTTCATGCGCAATTCATAGCCTTAATAAAGAACTAAGAGAGACAGGCAGCAAGATGGGATTAATAAACACAAGACTGATGATTAAACAAACAAAAAAAGACTTACTATCCTCCATTGATTGATAGCTTATATTTACTGACAAACGTTGAGTGAAGACTGTGCCGCAGTGACTAAAGCCTGATCAGACCATCTGCACACTGACCATCAGCCTAAATGTTGAAAGCAATCATGCGGAGATCAGAATGAGGTTTGGCTTCTCCTAAAAGTTTATTTCGCTGAACAAAGCTATGAGAAACCAACAGCAGGATACAAGCACCGCATCAGCTATTTTCCATTCAGGTAAAGCTTACGCATATTATATTGGTAGCTTTGCATGGTTCTGATTGGTTTGAGTGTCTTGTCCTGCACAAGGCTTTGTGTCAGAGGAAGAAATTTTTTAAAAAAAGAAGCAGCTCTCACAGAATATAATTAATTTAAAATTCACTTCATATATATTTCTTTATTTGTTAATTAATTTATTAACTATTAATGAATTAATTAATTTAGATAGATAGATAGATAGATAGATAGATAGATAGATAGATAGAT